GCCTTGCTTTTGCATGAAAAAGAATTTGAGATGAACATAAAAAGACGAAAACAAATACATAGCCCATATGGTCCAGTTCGTCTTGGGGCAACACCGCGAAAACCATCGAACAGTCATGGGGCCGTGTCTGAAATTGGAGGGATGTTCCATCGTGTTTTCTTTCATGATGTTCATTGATTTTCTCAAATCTGTTCAAGGGATGGTCCACCTGCACACTCTTGTTCACTGCTCGATGCTGGGTTTGACCACCCTCAAAGTGATGGGGGTCTGTGGCTTCAAGTCCTCTTTTCGGAACTTGAGGTCTGCGTGGAGCATCTGGGCAGAAGGACTTCCAGGGATGCTCAACAAAAACAAAAGCCAAACCGTACCAAGAAAGTTGATCCGGTTCTTCTACCTGAGTGCGAAGTGAAGAATGCGAAGTAAGATGAGTTGGAATTGAATAGACTGTTTGATTTCGCTCCACTCTAGCAAGCAGGGGTAGCCTTAGAATGTTCATCAACTCCTCTATACATGGCACCCCAATGCCCTCACCCCGTGGTGACCAAAGCTGAAATTGTGGAGTCTCCAGTGCCGATGAGCTCGAGATCGCACCAGGTTGGAGGCGGATGTGCTAGGAAGAACTGACCCTCTTTCCGTTTCCCTGGAAATTCAAGGTCAAACTATGTCAAACTGCTCCACCTGTTACATTTGAGTGCGGAAGCCAATCCCCCGATGTCAAGGCGGGGCAGCTTATCCGAACTCCTTGGTAGGGGATTCAACCGGTCGCGGCCTTGGCCGTCAAACGGTCGCCTCCAAACCCCTAGCATCAATGCCTTCACCTCAGTTCACGCGGGTCCCTATACTATAGGAAACAGGTTCTGTTTCCTCCAGCAAAAGTCCAAGAAAAGGGACCAGTTACTAAAATGAAGGGAAATCTGTCAGAGACCTCGTTCTCCAGGTGTTGCGAGATTTGTTAATAGCAGCACCCACTCAAGGTACTCGATAGTTGAGCAGTATCATGCAGTATATCTAATATTACCAGTATCTGAAAAGAGGGGGAGCAACCTCCTGCCACGCTCCCCACTCTTGCTGTTAATCAATTCTTCAGCTCAGCAACAATCAAACTTCCTGCGATGAAGATGAGGTAGGCCGCCTCAGTTTTAATCAGCACGCTGTTTTGGGGTCAAACAGATCGGCTCTTAAAAATGGCTTGTGGTGACGTTTGCACACCCAAGAGTTTCTGGATGCCAAGGAGGGAATCCAAGTTAAGAATCGATTGTCTGAAGACCCTGTGGCCCTGCGGCTTCCTTCAGAAGTCACTGCATGATCCATCTTCAGGTGCTCCTCCAAAACAAGAGCACACGTCTTCCCCACAACTCCACTCACCCTTGGTCCCAGGCAGGGAGGCAACCAAATATCCAAACGGCACCATTCGCCCCAGTCTCCCCACCCCTAAAAGACTCTAAAGGGCGACTTGCAGGGTCAAATCTGCTTGCGGCAGAGGCACCACAACAGCGCCACCTGAAGATTCGCGCACCAGTGCAAACAGCTGGAACCGTCAGGTTGCTGGGGGCTGAATAAGTGTAGGATTCAGGTCACATCTGTCAAGTCAGGTCACATCAGTCTGCCAATTTTTCTCCCAAAGGGAAACAGTGAAGGATTTCTTCGGGCAAGTCTGCTCGAGCCTCTGTTTGTCTCTGTTTGTCTCTGTTCCGGCCCAAATAGTCTGGTTTTGATCTGGACAATACCACTGACTCGTCCTCCACAAGGTTTTGGGGACCTGAAGAATGAATTCTTAGAAGACCAGTCAGCTATAGCTCATGTTTTTGAGGTCCATACAGAACTTCTCTGCCTCCGTGCTCTGTTCATCAACTTCCTTTTGAACCAAACACCTCGCCACATCCATGTGCCAAGTCCTCCTTGCCAAGTCCTGAGAGGCAAGGCACTCTGCTGCTCCTTGGGCACCTCCAAGTGTCGCCGGTCCATCATAGCGCCGATGACCTGGCACTCGAAGAGGGGACGGGAGGAGACGCTACACCGAGTCAACGGGATGGGTTGAAGTGTAGGAAAAGTGAGTCGGGATGACCGGGAAAGAAGCTCCAACGACTGAAACCAGTTCTGGCCTAACTTGGGTGAAACTTGCAGATCTACAACGGGATGGGTCAAGTCGTTCTCTCATCTGGGTATTATGGTAGTGCCTGCTATTACCTGCTGTTGGTCAATTCATTCCAAACAGAAAATCAAGCGACCACCCAAACTCACAGGACAAGGTGACCCTGAATAGGAGTGGCCCACTCTTCAACCAGACTTACAATCACATCAATAACCGGTCTTCGCCCACTGGTTGGGTTCAAGTAAATGTTAAAAATATCACCGTAGCTGAGAAAAGTCACCAACAACTTCAAGCCAGAATAGATGTAGAATAGATGTTGTTGTTCACTCCCATCAAGGGAAGCAACCCCTGTCAAATGGCTTCGAACCTGCCAAATCAAGGAATGACCTCTTTTCCAGTCTTGTCAAATCACGTGTAGCCAAGTGCTTCCCGATGCAGCTGGAGCTCCGCCATGATGTCGTCTGGGACGAAGCGCAAAGCGTCTCTTGCTGCAGCCATGTCCGCCTCGTCATTCGTGTGGTTGAAGCCCTGGTTAAGTTTTGGGTCTTCAGAGAACCCCTTCAAACCTCTGTTCTCGTCTTCCACAGCAACTGCATTTAGAATCTCCTGCTTCTGCTTCTCTGTGATCTCATTCCCGAACAGAAAATCTAAGATTTCTCTCATCGTGTTGTCAAAGTCCCTGGAGCTGTTTGTAAACTTCTCAAAACGCACCACGAGCACATCGGGCTTAGCGACCGTATAGGCCAAGGCGATGGTCCGGACCTCGTTGAGCAGACTTGAAGCCATAGCAGGAACTCCTTCCTCGGGTCCCATCTGCGTGATGTTTGCAGGAGTAATAGGTAAGCCGCTGGCAGCCCCGCGGTGAGTATAGCAGTAGCCAGAGACCACAATTTCCAAGGGGTCACGAATCATCATCACACCACGCAAACCTCCTTTTGAGGCAGCTTCCTTTCGTATCTTGAGGATCTCTCTGCCAGAGATGCCGTTGTGGAAACGGATAGGAGTCGGATGAGTAGTGCACTCTTCATGATAACCAGGCTTGGAAGTCACTGGTCTGCTTGAATTTCCATACTGGCATGAATCTGTGGCGCCTAAGAGATCAAACGTCCAGTGCATCGTATTACGGAGCAACTGGCACCCCACTTTGAAGTGGGTTGCGACCAGGTACAAATGTTTCTCCAAAAGCTTCTCGGAACCTTTCGAACGAACCTGAGTCCTTGAGGTCTGTACCAGTTGGTTCCCTTCCACCACCGGCTTACAGCGCTCCTAACGCGGGTCGCAGGGCTCAGAGCCCTCCAGCCGCTGCCACCGCATCCATGGCAGGCGACCATCCACGGCGTCCGCGTCCGCGGGTCTCGCGGAGACCGCGAGGAGCACCGCGAGGACTCGCGCCGCGAGGAGCGTCCACCGGCCGAACATGGATTCAGTGCGAACCGGAGAGGTAGACCGGATCATGGTTCAGTGGAATCCGGGCTTGAGCCCGGGCTCAATCCGGCTTCTGCTTGTTTGTCTGACGGTTCATCGATTCGAGGATCCTGCATCACTGCGGTTCTGGATGTGGAAGGATACTATGCCATTTCACCTGCATAACTGAGGATGTAATAGGATGTGTACATCTATAGCAGGCTTCCATCTTATCTTTAAGCCAAACCCATTTGATTCGATGCAGTTCACCGCCCGCCGTGAGCCGCGCAGTACCTTAATGTCTAAAGTTCCAGCTGTGTAGGACTGGGTGGTGCTAAACCTCGCTAAACCTAGTCGATGCCTCCTCCACCCCACAAGCGCGGGCGGGAATAGGGGTGCGATTGATTTGCGAGTTACTCTTGTCACCCAGTCAGTCAACGGTGTCGGAAGCAAACGAGCAACAACACACAAACAAACCGTGGTTCAGCATGTTAGTCTGAGTGGAAGCGAGTGTTTCAGCGTTTGTTCCTCTGAGTGGCCGGAAGTAAGAAGCTTAGCAGCTAGTTAGTTGTCCCCTCTTCCAGGTATAAGTTATAACTAGAAGTTCTGGTATGTTCTGGTATGTTCTGGTATAAGAGGGGACAAGTATAGAACCTCCACTTACAGGTATAAGTAAGAAACTAGAACAAGACTCCAACCAGAAATCTGTTCTGGACCTGCTGCGTCGTCGAAAAACCCAACCGATCGAACCAGTGCGAGGAATCCTGCCTTCCCCACACCGAGTTCCCCCTGAACCGGGCCTCGATGAGAAAGACTTGGCTTAGAGAACGCGGGGGCTGAAAGAGAACTGATTCCTGAGCCCTGAAAAATGGTCGGATCGCGGCGGTAGTATGGGCGAACATAAAGGTGTTGGAACACACGCGCGGAGTGCTTGCTGCCCTCTTCAGGGTGAGGAGCAGTGTGCGAAAGTCGTAGGGAGGAAGATGGTGATCCTGAGCATATGCGACTGCCGCTGTTGACGGACAAGCTTCAATCCACCGCATGTACCACCCATAATGCTTCGAAGTGGGTCAAGCCTGAGTCAAAACTCAAATTCAAGCAAACACCGGCAAACACTCCAAACAGAACAAACTGTCATCGTCTACCAAAATGCTGTAGGCCGACACCGAAGGCCGATCGTCCGAGAAAGACAAGATTGTGAAGCTGGATGTGTACCAGGACCAACAAAACACTTGATGACAAATGATGGTAGGACAGGGGTGCTTAGCGTGGTGTCGCCAACAACATGCTATCCAGGGCGGCATCGTCTGTCTGTACTGATCTGAGAAACGAAGGTTTGAGGTCATCATGGCCGGCTCCCAGACTATATAGTGTGTTCATTTGCATTAATGAAAGATCGTTTTGGTAATCAAACAATGTAATAAAAGCTCTGAAACATATGAAACATATGTCGGTCATCAACAGCGAATCTCATCGAACCCATTCAATCCACGAGAGAACAGACCTCTTGCTGCGGTTGACGTAGTAGACGTCATCCATTAACATGCCTGACGTCTGCAATGGAAAAAATATCGTCGACACATGAGATCGAAAGTCTGTTCAATGGCTTTGGTCGACATGTGCCCCTGGAACTGCACGAAGGGTTTTTCACTCTTGGACAAGAAGCCGACGCGAACCGAACCGTCGTATGATGGCTCTCCCAAACGATCTTCATGGATATTCAGGAGCTATGAGGACATATGTCATGAGGACGCCAGCTATGAGGACTACAGCTATGAGGACTGGAATCCATCACTCATATTATATGCATTCCAGTCTACCATTCCAGGGGTCGGCTATGATACTTCAGGGATACAAACATGCTTGGTAGTTATGCATTTAGATTTGTTTTGTGGGGGGGGCCACTTGACACCACTCAGGACACTTGACATCACACCTGCTCTTGCAGCTCGAGGCGAAGAGAATGGTGCATGCTGTCAGGGCCGGCCCACTGGACATCTGGTCCCTGAAGGAAAGAAACACCTTGTAAATATGTATGAATATGTGAGTGTGTATTTTAATTGGGAGACACCCAACCAATGGCTTTTGATTTTTGAGATATTGTCCTTCTTCCAGGGTGTCTTTGGGAGGTCTCCCTATTTTAATACACAGCCATGTGGGAGCAGGTCGTGTTCATACCGTGCAAGCAACCTCCCGGAAAAAGGAACTGCAACAGGGTCACTATTGGCATCCAACCAAAATCTGTTTGTTTTTGCGATTCCCAGCTCGAATGGAACTGTTGCATCGTTCCTTCATTCTACTGTGGGGCATGCTGCTCGTTTGGTCTGTTCCAAGGTCCAGTAAGCAAGGTCCATCCAGACATTTCAGGTCTGGCTGGCCAGAAACATGAAAAGCTGCCTGCCAATCTGCGGCAACCAAGAGCTGCGCAAAACAGGCTGCTGACTGGTCAGGCATGTAAGGCATGTGCTGGATTCTGGATTGAAGGGGTCCTTGTAGCTCCTCCAGGATTTGGGAGGATAGACCCAGCTTGGCTCTCTAAGAAACATGCTTGTCTCCAAAAGGCATAACCAACTCCATGTCCGGTGAAGCAAAACATCTATTGTTGCGGTGTTGCGGCTTCAACCCCCGGATCGGGGGGGGTACGTGGATGGGTTATTCCTGGAAGCTTGGAATCCATGGCTCCATGCTGAACCGAATCATTGATCAAACAAGGTGTGCGGTTGCTGATGTGAATATGTATTTACAGTAATTCCCTCCCCCCGAGGGCATCAGCGATGTCTTTGCATGGTCAAATTGGTGCTTGAGGAAGATGGCTAGGACAGAATGGTTCTGCTCACAGTGGCCGGAACCACGTGCGTCAACGAGACAACGACGCCCGCAAAAGAAGTGCGTCTCATCAATATTCCGTTGATGAGCAATCCAATGGATCCAGCTAAAACCACCATTTGAAGACATCCTCCTCGCAAAAAAAGGATCGGACAAACGGTATCAGAGATTGGAGCGTCTGGGTCGGAACATCTCCAGTCTCGCACGTCCCCCTGCCAAAGCCGTCGAGGAGTCACCCCGTGACGAAGGCCCACACGGACGAAGCCCGCGCTGAAGTTGTCGCCAATATGCACACCTCTATAACTCTGCCTGTAGAAGAATTCCAGTGTTGGGAGGCTTCTTAGGAAGTCTTGGGAGTTCCTAGAAACTACTAATTATATAACTACTCTTAGTCCAGTTCAACTAAATAAGCTAACTTCACTTCACCATTAATCATCAGCAAGTTCTCCCGTGCACTCCGCTGGCACACTTTTCTGTCAGATGCAAATCTGCTCACAAGCGGAATCAGCCCGCAGCTGGTTCCTGCAAAGAACTCACGGAACTCAGGATCTTTGAGTGTTCCGGGCGGGAAGGAAACAAATATCGAAGAAGAACAAATCACCCTTTATTCCTTCCCCCCAGCCGGACCCCTTGTGAAGCGAGTTCGGATGTTTGGCACTGCCGGATAGTCTGAGACCGAAAATATCGTACCCTTCGCCGGGAAAGGAGCGGTCCGTGAAAGGAGCGTCTGGGGTTCTTGGCTGGGTTGATTTCAGCCTCAAGACCGGAGAACCAAATCATATGAACAATTCTTCACACCGGATGCAAGACAGGATGCACCGGATGCACAAACGTGCCAAAACGTCTTGCATCGTCGGCAACCAAAACACCCAAGTGGGGAGGAGGTGCAGAGGCGGTCAGGGTGGGGGTGACCAAACACTCGGCCTTGAGGTGCCATATCGTCAAGAATCCAACGTTGGGAGCATCGCAGAATTGGTTTAAAGACACTGGAAGCCCATAGTTCGGGGAGTGACTTCCCGGTGTCCAAATCCATTGAAACCAACCCAAACCACCAAGCTTTGTAGAGCCCAATTCGAGGATCTGAGCTGAGACACTTTGACGTGGACGGCATGTGCCCCTGAGAAAAAACACTGTGTTCAGTGTTGAGTGTTCCATTATGTGCTGCTTTGCTACTTCCATGTCAGAGTCGAGTGCAGAAAATGAAAACTCCCATTCATGCATGAGCTCAAAACTTGCAGGTGAGCTCAAGAGGGTGGTTCGGCAAGCTTCACCAAACAAATAAGGCGAACTGGACAACTGGGGTGTCCCCTGTTTCTTGATTGATTCCACACACCGTCGAAACGACGCGAATCGCCTGCCCATCAACAATCTGGATGGGTGGTGGGGCTGGCGTGCCTCAGCAAAGAGCCCTACTTCGTCACGGGCTTGGCATGGCCCCTGTGTCCTACAATCTGGTCCGACTGGAGTTCCGAAAGTGTTCTTGTCCAAGCAATGTCCAAAAAGGCAGCCCCCTTGGGCTCTTCCCTTCCACCTGTCGCCCCTCCATGAGAAGGCAGGCCATTTCTTCCTGTTGATGCATGGCCCCTGTGCAAGGATGACACGCTTTTGTTGAGGTGCTGTGAACGCCGCAGCCCTTTTCCATGAGGTGTGAACACCTCATCAAGACCTTGACTGGTCAAGACAAGGCCAGAGGTCACCAGGAAAAAGGAAGCGTTTTCGACGTTGAAGTTTCGTTGATTTGCAGCTTGTTGAACCAAAGGGAACACGACCATGTCCCACCACCAACAGGTTATGAGCCCAACGTCAGAACTTTCTTTACCTCACCCCTCCATGCTCCGCCGGCGACGAACCATGGAGCATGATGATGATGGCCGCCTGGCCTTGATGCCGCCTGCGGAAGAGCCTCGAAGCGACGAGCTGGTGGCCGGCTGAAGCTTTGGAAGGTGATGGAAAGAAAGAAGAAGATGAAAAGAAAGAGTTTAGCACCCCGGCTCGTTCGACGACAGGGCTGGGGAATACTGGAACAGGGAAGACTGAAATGGAGGTGTTTAAGAGTGGTGGGTCAAAAGAAAGTGTGGTTGAGGCTCCAAAAGGAAAGCCTACCACTCTGGCTCCCTTGGCACCACCAGCACCGCAAGTCATGCAGCCCCTGTTCACTCAGGAACAGATCAGAGAAGCTAAGGCATCCGCTCGACTTGCTCCCCAGCTCTTTGGGTCAGGTCTGATGCTGTCCTCTTCAGGTGATGATCGGCCTACTCAGGTGTCTCGCCCGGCCTTCCTGGAAGAAGAAGAAGAAAAAAGGAAGGAAAGAGAGGAGGTAAGAAAGAAGGGTATAGAAGGGTGGTGGAGATGGAGGAAGAAGAAAGTGAGGAGCTCAGAAGATGTGAAGAGAGCTCCAATGACCCTCGAAGGACCCGTCGTGATCAAGAACGGGAAGAAAAAGAGGAGGACATCATGCGGCGCTGGCGGATTTCTCAGGATGTGCAGCGGCTCACTGATCTTTGCCACGCCCAACAACGTGAAAACGACCGCCTTCAACAGGAGCTCTATGAATGGAGGATTGAAGGTGAAGATAGAAAGAGGTTGGAGGTTGAGGAGAAGAAGAAAAAGGAGAGGAAAGAAAGGGAAAGACCAAGAAGTGCCTCCAACTTCAATACCCCTGATGAAGAGGGACCGAATGGAATTCCGGGGGCTGACGACCTACATGCCCGAGGACGCACACCGTGGTCCACTTACCCGGCTCGCTATGGGGTCAAGGGTTCCAGGTCCCGCTCCAAAGAACAACAGAGGAAGGGTCGAAGTCCATCCTATGGAAAGGGGGATATGAAGGGGCCTAGACCTACAACACGAGGAGCCAAATTATCCCCTGAAGTTCAGCAGATGGAGGTGATGACACTTTTGGTGGAAAGCATGAAGTCCCTCCAACGACAGATTTCAGAGGGACAAGAAGCTCAAGGAACGGTGAAGGGGGTGGAGATTGTCCGTCAGGTCGCTGAGCTTCCTGTTCTACATCCTCTACATGGTTCCACCTCGCAGTTGCAGCTGGGCGATTGGCTGCTCCTTGTTCAGCCTGTGGTGGCTGACCTGACGACCACCTCTGACATCTGGTGGGATCGGATGATGACTGAGGTTGAGAAGTGGTACCAAGACCACCAAGCGATGGCTCCTTTGGATCGGGTCAAGCATGAACCTGTGCCTCCATCATCACTCAGTGTTCCAAAGTGGGCGAAGCTGGAACGGCGAATGGCCACCCTGTTGCTGAAGGCAATTCCAGAAGTTCAGAAAGATGAACTGGTGGCTACAAAAAGGTTGTCAGTCTTCGCCATCCTCGCCCATCTTCATGTCACCTACTGCCCTGGTGGCATCAGCGAGAAACAGATGCTCCTGCGGAACCTCGAAGATCCAACGGAACCAGGAAATCTGCACGACACTGTGGTTGTCCTCCGTCGATGGCTTCGCTGGCGTGCAAGGGCTCAGGAGATTGGAGCCACCGAACCCGGCCCGTCCATCCTGGTCAAGGGTCTGAATCGTTTGACGAAGCGAGTTCTGGATGGCAATGAAAGCCTGCGATTCCGGGTGTCCTTGGCTCGGAATGCTCTTCAGGTTGACACCAACCCCAATGCGCTCTCGGTCAGCCAGTTCGCAACTCATCTCATTGCCGAGATCGAACAGCTCTCCTTGGCCGAGAAGCGAAGTGGTGCAACTATGAAAAAAGAAGAAAATAAAGTGAAGAAGATTGAGGAGGTCAATAAGAAGGCCAAAGGAAGTGAAGGGAAGTTGAAAGAGATGGAAGTCAAGCCGCCGTGCAAATTCTTCCTCAGCGAGGCCGGATGTCGTCGTGGCCGTGATTGCAAATGGTCGCATGACCAAAAGGATGAACACAAAAGGTGTTACTTGTGTGGCTCCACGAAGCACCTAGCTCCCACCTGCCCCACGAAGGAAACAACAGGTGGAGCTGCTCCCAACTCGCCACCGAAAGTCAAGAAGGAAAAAGAAGAAGAGAAGGACTCAAAAGGCGAAGAAGGAGGAAAAGGAAGTGGAGTTCAAGATGATGAAAAGATGGATGAACTTCTCGCTGAAGCCAACAAGATGCTCAAGGCGATGAAGGACAAAGAAGCTTCGGAAGCCAAGCTGAGCCGGTTGCATCAGCAGCTTGATGAGATCAAGAAAAGTATCAAAACCCTGAAGTTGACCCGGGTTCGCGAAGCGAAGATGGGGTCTCTACAAGAAGAAGAATGGGGACTCTTGGATTCTGGTGCCACTCATCCCCTGAGGCCTCTTGCATCTACGGACAGTCTCGAGAAGTTCAAGAAGGTCTCTGTGTCTCTGGTTGATGGCCGCACGACACCTCTTTTGATGACTGAGTCGGGGGTAATGGTTTCAACAAACCTACAAGTGGAACCGATAGTACCCCTTGGGATGTTGGCCGGTGGAGGATGTAAGATTTCATGGAAAAAGCATGGCGTGAAAGTTTACTACAAAAGGATCTCTGCCTATCAGCATCCAAGCGGGATGTCCGCAAATCCCCAAGCAGCTTGCTCTCGAACTCATCCAGGAGTATGAGGATCGCACCCAAGAAGTCAAGCAAGCTCGCCTGGTGGGTGAAACGCACCCTGAAAGAGAGGTGGAGTGGATGAAGTCTTTGGTTGAAGGTCATCCAGCTCTGGCTGAACTTTCAGGTCACATCAAGGAAGCCTTGGTCCAACAACCGGGGGAGTGGAAGGATCTTCCTGCCAACCGTCATCAACGAAAGCGGCTGAAAGCAGCTGGCTCGGTGATCCTGCATTTGTATGCGGGAAAACGTGAAGGATTTACCCTGCAAAAGGCTATGGAAGAGCATGGCTTGGGAAGCCGTACCTTGGAGGTGGATTTACAACGGGGTGAAGATCATGATATGGCATCCCTGGATTCGAAGGCCTACAAGGGCCTGCTTCGTTTGGCGCTGGATGGGGATTTGGTGGCGGTGATTGGAGGACCCAACTGCCGCACCCGATCTGTTCTGCGGCATTATCCTGGTGGGCCACGACCTGTAAGATCTTGGGAGGAGCCATGGGGCATCGGTTCCTACAGCCCTGAAGAAATGGCTATGTGTCGAGAAGACGATGTCCTAATGTGGCGCCAGATCTTTCTCTTCCTGGTCGCGGACATGGCTGCCAAATTGAAGGATTCAACAAATAATGATGAAGAAAAGACAAACAAGGATGAAGCGATGTTCCTACTCGAGCAGCCTTCCGACCCCAAGGACTACATGCCCTCGTGTGTCTCCTTCTGGAGTACGGAGCCATGGAAGAAGCTTCAAAGCGCAGCGCATCTACAAGTTCACAACTTGAACCAGGGAGACTATGAACCCTGGAAGGAGGATGCTCCGGTGAAGCCTACAACTTTGGCCGCCAATGTTGAGCTCCGCTTACCAAAAGGAAAAAATCCTGGATCAAAGAGCAGAGGAGAAGGTCAGAAGGTTCCATCATCCTCACTCGCTCGCTGGGTTCCGGGACTATGTCGATCTGTTGCTGAAGCTTGCGCTCTTCACATCAATGGAAATGTGGAGGAGGAACCAAAGCTGAAAAAAGATGACATGGGAGCAGCACTGTCAAAACGGTCACGTGCCCTTCCGAAGAGACTGTCGCACCTGCCAGGAGCAAAGCGCCAAGTCCCGGCCTCATCGAAAGGTCACACACCCACTGGCAGCGACGCTGTCACTGGACACTGCTGGTCCATATCCTGTCGCCAAAGATGGTAAAGACTTGATGAAGTACATACTCGTTGGAACCTACACCTGGCTTCTTCCTCAAGAACAGCATCCGCCAGTACCAGACGATGAACTGGCTGACTCTGATGAAGTGCTGCTTGAAGAAGAGGATGAAGAGGAAGGAAATGAAAAGAATGATGAAGAAGAGGGTGTGGCGGAAGAAGGCGAACAAGGTGAGGAGACGAAGGAAAGTGAAGTGGGTGAAGAAAAGGAAAACCCCGACCTGATCACCTTCAGACTCGCCATTCCGATGTCCTCAAAGGATCAGAAGACGGTGCTGTCCACGATCCAGCAAATGTACATTCAGCTCAGGGTGATGGGCTACCACGTGGCAAGACTTCACACTGATCTCGGGGGAGAGTTCAGAGAAAGATCCCTTACCCAATGGTGTCGCTCAAGGGATATCCATCGCACCACAACGGCAGGAGTCTCCTCTCAGTCCAATGGACGTGTGGAAAGAGCGATTCAAACAGTGAAGTCCCACATCCGTCGGGCCCTTGGCATGGCTGGTATGCCAGCGAGTCGATGGCCTCAAGCATGCCACTATGTCCACGAGCGGGAGCGAAGGCGCATGGCCGACCTCGATCTGGGTGATGTCCCGCCTTTTGGTCATGAGCTCCTGGTCAAAAGAAGATTTTGGAAGACAAAAGAATTGGAAGCGACTCATGAGAAGGTTCGCTACCTGGCCCCAAGACCCGATGCTCACGGTCACCTGGTGTTGAGAGACAATGGCTCTACGGCGATCGTCCCGTACTTCATCATGAAGACCCAGGAACCTGAGCCGAGCCAATCAACTTGGATGGCTGTTACAAAGGCCGCTGAGGAGGCGAGGGTCCCTATGAAGTCCGAAGAAGGATACGGGGAAAAATGGGAGCCAAAAGTATGAAGTTGGAAGAAGATGAGTATGAAAGGGTTGAAGAAGAAAGAGAGCGGCACCTGGAAAGGATCTCCAACATCGTCCTGGAGGAAAGCGTGATCATGCTCAAGGACGAAATGAAGGTCATGGATGTCGTCTATGAGGAGCTGAGGAAAGTTAAAAGCGCTATGCCCAAAGAGGAGGAACCGGTCCTTCGAACCAGAGTGGTCTCCCCAAAAGAACTTCTCCGAGAAGCTCCCAAATGGGATGAAGCCATCAGGAAAGAGCTCCATCAACTGTTTGAAGAGAAAAAGGCTCTCCGCCGGATTGATGAAGATGAGTTCAAATCCCTCCAAGAAAAGTGGGGAAGAAAGCTGGAGGTGTTGCCCTCGAAGGTAGTGATCACCTTGAAGCCTGGTCCAAGAAGAAAGATCAGACTGGTTGCCTGCGGCAACTTTGTTGACCCAGCCTCAGCGGAACAGAAGGATCAATGCCTATACGCCTCAGGTGCGGATGCCGTTTGCCTTCGCTACGTCCTGAAGCGATCAGCTGAAGAGAGCTGGAAGGCATCAGTGCTGGACATTCGAACAGCGTTCCTCAATGCTCCGCTAGACATCGAAGCTGCAGGTCAAGAGCCAACCATGGTGGTATTGAAGCCACCATCCCTTCTTCTGAAGACGGGCCATGTGGGGCCTAAGGACTACTACCTGGATGGTCTTCGCCAGTCTCCGCGCTGTTGGGGGGTCTACCGTGATCAAGTACTGAGGAAGCTGACCTCACCCCAAGGACATCGCTTTGTCCAGGCCGAAGCTGAGCCTAATCTATGGAGCATTATGCTCGGTGATGGTGAATATCAAGATCGTGAAGAAAAGATGGTCGGATTCCTGTTGGTCTACGTTGATGACCTGACGGTTACAAGTGACGAGAAAACCATCAACCAGGTGATCCAAGTCCTACAGGCCCAGTGGGAGACCTCTACTCCTGAAGAAGTGGGAAAAGAAAAGGTCAAGTTTTTGGGTATGGAGATCACCAAAACCAACGAAGGAGGATATCGGGCATCACAAGAAGATTACATCAAGGACAAAGAAGGGATTCCAGAGGCAAAGAACGTGAAGGTCCCTATTCCCTATGTCCAAAGAAGTTGCCCCGATGCCTGAAGAGCCTACTCCAGAGCTGGTCAATGCAGCCCAGAAGCTCGTTGGCGAACTGATGTGGTTATCAACGCGCACAAGACCCGATGTGGCATTCGCTACAGGTCGATGTGCCCAAGAAATTCTACCACATCCATCATGGGTGATTGAACAGGCCACCCAAGTCTGGAAGTACTTGAAGTCAACTCCCAATGAAGGACTTGAATTTCCACCTGGAAAGGGAGAAGGATGGGATGGGGGACCAAAGTCTTTGGAGGTCTACACGGACTCAAGCTTTGCAGCCTCTCCGGAAACCCAAGCTTCCCACGGTGCCGTGATGGTGTTGTGGAATGGGGCACTGATGTTTTGGAAAAGCGGTCGCCAACCATTTCCGGCTCTGTCCACCGCCGAGTCGGAGCTGCTGGAAGCCATTGAAGGTCTCCAAACTGGTGATGCAGTTGATAGCATGATCCAAGAGCATGAGGAACCCTATGTGAAGACCCTCTTCGTCGATAACCTTGCGGCCACTGGGTTCTTCTCCGATGGTCATGCCAACTGGCGCACCAGGCATTTGAGGCTGAGTTCGTTGGAGAATCACCACCCTCGACTGGCGAGTGAGACACATGCCCGGCACCATCATGATTGCCGACCTTGGTACGAAACCACTTTCGAGTCAGCGCACCCTGGAGTTGAAAGAGTTGATGTCCATGGTTCTACAAAAGAAAGTGGATGAAGAAAAGAAAGAAAAGGAGGGTGGCCCAGAGGCAGCAAGCAAGGAAAAGAAAGGAAAGGAGGATGGGGCCCAGAGGCGGTAAGTGAAGGAAGAAAAGAAGAAGTTGAGGTAAGGAAAGAAGAAGATGAAGGGTGAACCTCAGCGGGCGACAGCTGCAACTGGCAGTACTGATGGTGCTCATTGCCAAGTCAAAGGCCCAAGGAAATCAGAGTGGTGAAGATGAGAATCCCTCTGACCAAGCCGGCTCTGAGCCACTTCAAATGTTCATGATGCTGTACACAATCCTCGTCATCTTGGTCACCCTGCTCGTTCGACGCTGGTGCGCATGGCTGATGAACCCAGCCATCAATGATGGAGATGCGGCAGCTGGCCATCAATATGCACCACCAGTTCTTGGACCGCCTGGAAGCTCCACCTCTGAATCCCAAGGAAGCTCCATCACCGTGGACTGGCAAGGTCGTGAAGTCAACCGACCAAGCGCCAGGTCAAAAGGTAAGAAAAAGGGGAAAGGACAAGGAAAAGGAGGCCCACAAGATGATGAACCTGTTGATTGGGCGTATGGTCCTGCTCGCCCCATGTCCGCTGAGGAGAGAAGCCAATTTGGGCTGCAGAATCGTGAATGGCTGCTGCGATGGCTGTCTTCCCTCACTCCAGACGAAAGGGCTCAGGCTGGCATTCCGCCAACATCAAGTTCATCTGGGCCTACATGACAGTCGCACTCGGACGCCACTCTCACCGGAATCCAAGAGGAGCCCGAGCAAGAGATCCCAGCTGGCGACCAGGAGGTGGCACCAGGATCATCTCCGCAAGATCCTCAGTGCGACGAAGATGAAACTCTCTACCACCCAACAGAGAGGGATTACCGTGACATGATCGCCGATGAAGCATGGGATCCAACGCCTCCTCAACCGAGACCGGCAGGACCTTCCGAAGCTGCCGCAAAAGCATGCCCCAGGGCATTTCAACGTGATGGCGAACCGCCAATCGGAGATGGAGGCCGGCGGTACCAAGGGATGGGTGTATACATCACCAAGTATGGGCAGAAGTACCACATCTTCACTTCATGCCCCACGCTCACCTCATCCGTGCTCCGGAGCTCACCTCCATGCCATCGATGTGGCTTCACCATCGACATGGCCCATGTCCGAAGGGGTGAACACCTATGGTCTCGTGGATGGGGCGAGATCTACCATGTGGATGCTGCACGGCCACCTGCCTGTGCAACTGGGGCAGAGAAAAAGTATGCCCCATGTGTTCGATGCCTCCAGGAGCTCCGTGACCGAGAGCTCAATATGTGAAGAAAAGAATGAAAGAAGGAAAAGGGGGTTGCCGGTGCCACATGGCAGCCTACCTATGGCCATTTTGGCCTTGAAGATGGAATGAATGCCTGCTGGCATTGCGGCTTTGATGAGGTCAAAGACCACAAAAGATGAAAGAAAGGAAGATCAGGCCATCTTGGTCTGTGGTTGGCACCCTGCAGCTGAGCTGTCCTCAACCAATGCATGGGCATTGTTGGTTTTGCGCTGCTGCCACATGGCCGGAGTGGCCGCGAAAGGAAAGGGCTTGAGCTGATGGACGGCCCGTCTCCACCATACATGCTGGAAGAAGGGCCTAGAGCCTGGAGTAATGGTGGGGGCAAGGGCATCGAAGTGTCTTCGCCGAAGCTAGGGGGAGTGTTGATGCATGGCCCCTGTGCAAGGATGACACGCTTTTGTTGAGGTGCTGTGAACGCCGCAGCCCTTTTCCATGAGGTGTGAACACCTCATCAAGACCTTGACTGGTCAAGACAAGGCCAGAGGTCACCAGGAAAAAGGAAGCGTTTTCGACGTTGAAGTTTCGTTGATTTGCAGCTTGTTGAACCAAAGGGAACACGACCATGTCCCACCACCAACACTTCCGAACCCTAATCCTGAAAATTCTAGCTGATTGGTCTGTTCAGCATACTACTAATAATCATAAGTAACTCATTGCCCAAGTGATTCATCTGTTCACAATGACCACCCCCCGCTCCCGCTCCCGCGCTCCCGGTTCGTCCTCAGGTCGACGACGATTCGGGTCAAGTCGTCGACGCTTCGTCCAACGGGGTCTGAGACGGATGCATGTTGGACACGTTTAAAGGAGTGCATCTTGGGTACATCCCAACTCTTGCAGGGCCCTGTGAAAAAACATGGGGCCTGAGGGTTGCCAAGCCATTCTCATCATTCTCTAAAATAGTGATCATTGATGATAATTTGTTGACCGAAAAGGTATCATTGGTGTATCGGAATTCAGGGAGACCTCACAGCCACAAGAATGGGGCCCATCTGTGTGGTTCTATCTTCCATGGCCCCCATCTTTTGCTTATGGGCCCCTCCTACCACCCCCAGCCTCGAGTGCAGAGTGCCTGCCACCCACCCACCCCAAAGACCGGGCGAGTCTGACAGGCGATCCCACAGGGCATCAGACCGCTCGGAGCAGCTGCTGGCGGGCTTTTCCTGTCCACGCCAAGGCCGACAGCATCGTTTCCGTCGAGGCGGAGGCGGACGGAAACGAGGCCGTGCGTGTTGCCTGTGTTGGAATATGTTGATGTTGTGATATGTTGTGATATGTTGTGATTACTTCCACAATGGGTAATGTTTCAAGTACATGAACCCAGGACATGATTCCTGGGAGGCACTCCTCAGTGTCTGCGTTTACTTCCGTGAGAGGCCTGTATGGCTTGGAATGACACCGCCGACAGAAGATCCTGACTAATAAGCCACGGACCAGGATCTGATAGTATCTGAGTGAGGTTAACAACGGGCGACTACTCTTCAGCGGGTACCAGTACTTGGGGTGATGTTGTGCCGACGTACTGATTTCAATGCTCCATCATGTTCCATCACCTTCCGTCCAGTGCCAAGAAGCTGATGAATTCCTCAAACAGCCCTACTGCAACAAGTTGAATCATGCCGGGTAGCCCTCCTGCAGCAAAGTGAATAGTCTTATATAAGTTGGGTCTATCCTAATATTTATCTGTAACTGTAGCAGTGGATGATGATGGTTAGGTGGCAGGCCTTAAGTCCAAAAATAGTGCTGTTCTTGTTACTGACTGTTCCAGGTAAGAATGGACAGACCCAATATGTAATGGCTTGTGGGCGCCCCAAAAGGGAATTGAAGGCAGAAGACCCAAACCAATATCTCCGCAAACGAGGGGAGTCTTTAAACACAGCACCACAGTGTTGTCCAACTAATCGACATGATATTCTCTACTCCAACCCTCAAGATCAGAACTTTTGGAAGATCAAACAACTGGGCCTAAGCAGCCCTTAGACTGAGTTGTTGGTGGCCTCAGTGGCACCGTTGTCACCCAGAAGCTGCTGCCTCCGCTGTAGGTACCAGGTGGCCACGATGCCCAGTGCGACCTGAGCGAGCAAAAACTGCATTCGGCTTCGGATAGGCCACAATGAAGACGCTGTAGTAAGACCATTGGTCAATATCTACCAAATCGATCCAAATCGTCTGGTGTCCAAGAGATTCCAACATAGATATCCCTGTAAAAGCCTTTCTCCTCGTTTGATCCATCCCTTCTTCTACGTAAGTTCATGGCCACGCAAACGCCCAAGATCACAGATGACTTGAAGATGTTGGAGGTGCTGCACTCGATCTGCGAACGTGGAGGTGCTGCACTCGATCGATTGTTTTGTTGGAACTTTCTTCTGTAGTCCTTTTTCAAGGAACACAACCAGCCGAATCCTGCTGTACCCCTAGCACATCATATGGGTATATATATATAATTATATATAGGTTAGCAAAGTTTTATGATAGTGACTTTCCCAGCACGGTTTGATGAGTTGTCCAACTACAGTTCGCATGTCCATTGAAAGACCCTCGGATACTGAAGAAGATCTCAAACGCTTCATGGGATGAACAAAACCTTCTCCGAGAAGCGCGAGGTCGCCTTTGAGATGTGTGTTCGCCAAAAAAAACGCATTGCGATGCTTTCCGGTCTCCCTGAGTTCCCCCCCTTAGAAGTCCCGAAAACAACGTGCCTTCTTCACAATGGCACCCTCGCCATGCTTGAAAAGGCCTCCGCAGACGGCCAACAGGGCACGCGCAAACTCCCATTCATGCTGACGAAGCACGCTGAATCTGGACAACAGCAATCAACGACAGCACCTATTTCACGCATGGAAAATTTTGTGGCAATTTGAAAAGGAAACATTGCAACATGCAAAGCGCTTAATTAGTGTTCTTGGCAGCCCAGGCGCGCCCACTCTATGCCAACATGGCAGCCCTTGTAAAGCGCTGCTACTACGGCGACAACTACTAGTACTACTACGACGAAGGCAGACTACTACTTATCCTCACCAGAACGACTAGCGTAAGCCTAAGGTCTTATGGGTTCGGCCGACAAAAAATAATAATGGGCTTTCCGGAATCAGGTGCAGCCAGCTCTAACCAGTGGGATCGTCCCTGACTTAGGGCTCTTGACACGAGTTCTTTCTTGTCTCAGCTGGGGTTTTCAATCATCCAGAAACGTCCTTCTCCCTTTCTCAAGTAAACCGAGTGAGTCGATTGTGTTCTTCCATTTTCATAATGGGCCTATATATCTCACCAAGGGCATTAGGAGCTGGCTGGCTAGGCTAGGCTTCGCTAGGCTAGGCTAGGCGTAGGTAGGTAGCAGGTAGGCAGGCAGGCAGGCAGGCAGGGCAGGGAGGCAGGGAGGTAGGGAGGTAGGTGGCGTTCCCCACGCAGTGAAAATATGTCTCGACTTGGCCAAACGAACTCAATCGCCAACGAGGTCCCGCGCCTCTGGTGCAGGTCATCTCATCAAACTCGGGGACCTAGACCATGGAACGACTGGAGAAGGATCCGACCAATTGGACAAAAAACAGGGAGGTCATAAAATATCATATATATATAATACATACAATATCGTATCACTTTAATATGATAATTATATTACAAGAATACAATCATACATCATTCAGAAATGATGTAATATATATATATATCATATGGTATAATTTAATGTATATAATACATACAACCTGAGAAGCTGCAAAACGAAAGCCAGCGCTTCCCTTTCTC